ATCCTCCTCAGAGGATGACGTCGGTGAGGACGCGCCGCAGATGCAGCGGAGGGGGAGAAGGGCAACAAATATAAGGACCAAGACAGGAAAGACAGAAGGGAAAGTGGGCATAAGATGGAGATTGTGGGATTGGGTGAAGAGAAACGAACAATGGGACCTGTCAAACCTTAACCATAACATTGTGCTGCTCCTCTCCACATACAACCCCACCACAGGCCTCTCCCTCTTCGGACTTCAAAAAGTGGAGGCCCAATTCCCAAAACTTCCCACCGGGGTTTCTTTGGCAAGATGGAAAGGAAAGCCTGACCTACAGACAATGGCTAGTCAACTACACTCAACCTGGAAAATAAATGAGCAGGAAATTATTGGTTGACTCTCATTACCTAAAGGCTTCCACTTCCTATCCCAAATTCGTCCGGCGCTGGCCTCTTTGCCTCTTGAAGTGGCCAATACCAAGACTGTACATGGCACGACAAAGTGGTTTACTGAGGACGACTTGTGGCAGCTCCCGGTCACGAGACGCCGAACAAACCATATCTGGCTTGCTTACCATATCAGATATATGTTGGGTCTCATTCTCACTCATGGCCTCATCCCTGCTCGGACATCCCCTCGGTAATTCAATCACACCAAAGAACGTCATAGCCAAGCACCAATCCAGCCATCAAATGAACAATACAATGATAAACTCAGGGGCACTGCCCGAGGCTCTAGGAACCCAGAACCCTATACCCCTTACACAATCCCCACTGCGGCACCCCTTCTGTCCTCCACACCATCCAATGTCGGGGGCCCCCTCCTCCCCCCTCCTCCCCCCTCCGAGTCCTCCCGCCTCCTCCCGCCCCCATTCAGGAACCTGCCCCCCCAATCCTCCCCCTCCCTCTCTGAAAACTGCCACCCTGGACCAAGGCACTCAGGAAGTCGGACCTGGACGTCAGATCAAGAAACGTGAACGGCCTTCCAGCAGCCTCCCCCAAGAAAAAGATGCAATATGGGATATGATCCGAATGAATGATACGTCCTACTGGCTAGACGTTGTATGCGTATAGGAAACGCACCTGCTTGATAACCCGTCGCACGCAGCAAAACAAAAGGATCTTTGGTCATACGAAGCCTATAACGCACACACACCAACTTATCACGCGGCTGGGGTGGCCATCTGGATCCCCCCCTCCTCGAGAATTAAGCCTTTGTCGGTGAAGAAGGATGACTCCCATGACAGGTGGATCTTCATAAAGGCAATGTGGGAAGGAGAGGAAATATGCCTAGCAAGCATCTATGCTCCCAACTCACAGGCTGAGCGGGCCGAATTTTTTATGCAACTTATGCAAGTCCTCCTGTTGCATACTTCGATGAGTATGGGCAGAGCCAAAGATCAACCAATAAAGGATGAGCATGTATGCAGCGGAAGTCTGATAAACGAACTGACTCACATAGACTGACTCACATAGACTGACCTACATGGCATCACTCCACACACATACAATCATGAGATGGTGGGGTCTGGGTCATTCATAGACGTTACCCAGATCCCGTACACACATACACAGA